TAATATATATTATATTATATTTTAATATTTAACAAATTTATTTACAACCTGATTTTTGAAATATTTTAATAAGTTTGTTATTTATGAAATGTAAACTTTAAAATTAGGAATTATGTATTGTTCCCTTAATAAAGGGAGGACTCCTAATTGGAAAAGAAGTGGGTGGTTGAGATTATATATATATATATGTGTGTGTGTGTGTGTGTGTGTGTGTGTGTGTGTGTGTGTGTGTGCGCAGGGAGATTTGTGGGGCGGTTGATGGAAGAAATAGAAAAGGTAGAAGAAAACGCAGAGAAGAGTTGCGGCTGAAGGGAAAAAAATTACGCGGAAGAAAAAAGACGACAATGGCAGCAAAAGAAAAAAAATTACAGATTTGTTGTACAATAATTCATCGATAATTTGTGCAAAGAATTTGTGAATTAATCACATCCTGTCAATTTCTCAGCGATGTCGTTTAAACTCTATTTATTTAATTTTGACATTATGTTAGGTTAGATTATTTTTGTGTTAGGATTACAATATAACTTATGTCAAGAACCTTTTACGTTTGAATTTTATTTGTATTTTATATTAAAGCACGTTTTCAATTATTGAATGATTGCCATGAATTTATTTTTATCTACAAATATATACAATAATTGTATGAGTTTTGTGGCACATTTTTCCCTCGAAAGATTGAAAATAAGTTAGACATAATGTTAATTGTCGTATAGTTCGATAGGGGATATAAATATACCGTTATTTTTCATGTGATATTTAAGTATTCATAAATATTTAATGTATTTTTATATGTTCTCATCCGTCATAGAAATATAGTTGGGTCGCATGTAAGAATATGGTTAATTCCACTCGAGAGAGATTGTTAAACAAATTGAGAATATTGGTTTTCGTAATTGAATCGTATTATGAAATTTATAATTTCTGGGGTTAAAGGGAATTGATATAAAGGAATTCGAGATCATAATTCGCTTTTCATCATCATATATATTTTTTTTATAAAACTTGCATTTAATTATAACCTTGCATCAATTTTAGTTAACTTAGGTGTTGCATTCATAAATAGATTATTTAATTTATAAGAAAAACACAAACTTCAATTGCTTCGGTCAAGGTTAAATTAATTCGAACTTGAACTGATACAATCTCTATGGGAACGACATTTTGACTCAAAATTCATTTTACTACTTGTTAACAAACCGTGCATTTGCGATATTTTACACGAACAATATTTTCATGACACATGCAAACTCTTGAATGTGATGTTAGGGATTAGTTCTACACAAAGGTTACCCCTCCTTTATATTTTACAAATTTGAAGCAGTAGCGTATGTACTCTTAATTCTATGTAATTGGGCCATATGAAGTCCCTTTGCCATTTTATTGTTTCGACTTTGCATACAATAGTCATTCTTCATTTGTAATTTACTGACTTGAACGTTAGAGTGTAATACAATAAATGACATGCCATTATAAAGGACTCTCAGTAACAAGGACGAGCCATTAGTATTCAAGAAACATCAACAGAAAACTCGACAACAAGGAGAGTAAAATTTGAATATTTATAGATATTCGTAAAAGAAAAAAATACTTATAATCAAGTTAAATATTTATTTTTTTTTACCACATTTTATGGCATACATCAGCTTATAATATCAAAAAAGTTTGTCAAACAGCGGGCCTAAAATTAGGGCTGGATATGGTCTGGTTCGGTTCGTTCTAAAGATAATCGAACTGAATCGAAATTTTCGAATATTTAGTAAGTGGAACCGTAAGGTCCAAATTTAATTATGGAGCCGTTCGGGTTCTTTTCGATTCGGTTCGGTTCAATTTTATTCGATTCCCAGGTTTCATACAATAATTAATTTAATATTTATAACAACGCTACATTAATTCGATTATAACATGTTCAACCTTAACTCTTACAAAATAACAAAGTACAATCTCATGATATATTTTGCATATTTCTTTATTGAGTTCTTCATATATATGACTGTTCAAATTACAAGAAAAGAAAGATAGCGAGTTCACAATAATAGAATGACAGAATCGATATTAGGGTAGAATAAGAGATTTGAGTACAATTTAGATCAATTTGATTAAGTTGGACTTGGCTGAAAATTGAAAATAGTAAAATCATTTTTTAGGTTTGAGCTAAATTAATTAGCTAGCAAATTCATTTAGAAAAAAATAAAATAATTTGACTTATTTAAATTTCAAAATTAAAAAAAAATAGAAAGATTCGGTTCTTATTCGGTTTTAAGTCTAGAACCGAGAACCGAATCAAACCCGTCAGTTCTTGACTTAGATACCCTTTCGGGTATTTAATTTAAGAAGAACCGCTCAATTTGGTTCAGTTCGGTTCGGGTCCGATTCGATTCAGTTCGATTCGGGAGTTTGTCCAGTCTTACCTAAAATGAAGTTTTCTATTTACTTTTAATAATCTATTTTCTTCTGACATCTGCTTTATTTTTAACCGTACATTTTTAAAGACTCGCCGCCTTATAATCTTTAAAAACCTTTTCAATCAAGTACTTAAAACGAAGTTTTCCAAAGTTAATTGTCCAAAATAGTAGCGGTGCACTTCTTATCATCCCAAATGCCCTGTCAAGCACGAGGCCATGGGTCCTACATCCCAAATCTTTCGATTGCTATTGGTGGATACATTAATATAAAAGAATTTGATTCGCTGGATTGTGTACAAGTTGGAACTGAGTGCAATTGCAAATTTGTGGTATGATAATGATTCTTGAGGCTCAAATTTGGCTTATCGCCTAAATGGTGTCTCAATCATACAAATTGACCCTTTCTATCCTTTTCAATGCTTCCTAAATGTGGTCCAAAATGCAAATAGAAGATGTTGACAGACTTAAGCTAACCAAAAATATTATCTTCGACTATGTTTGGAAGCACCATGATACTTCTAATATTTTGTAAATGGATACATTTGAATTAACGTAATGAATGGAAAATAATTTTGAACCGTTGATTCCACTTCGAGTTTGTTTCTATTTATAAAAAATCGTGAGATGACAATATAAATTATTTATCATTATCCATCAGAAATAGAATAAATAAAATATGTTACCAAATATATGTTTCAGCATATTTTCAATTAATTGCAAATATATCTTCAAAATAGCAGTCATATATGTAGCATAGCATAAATACCAAATTACACATTCAAATAATAAATCAAAAATTAGAAACCAGCGATACAGAAGTATTATAGTTTACTAATGTTAAAAACAACATAAATTCGTTCAATTGAAAACGGTAAAATAATCAACATTGTATCCCATGAGGTCATATATATATATAAACTTATGAAAATGATAAATTCGATCTCAAAGTTGGATACCCACGGTTACGGTTCAAGAACCAGAAACCTTCAGGATTCAGTCAGTTCTCGATTTTAGTTCCTAATTTTTTTGTTTTTGAAATCGAACTGAAATATCTTATTTCGATTCAAGATGTTTGGTTTTGATTAAAATGTTTACCCATATCCATGATACTGTAAAAGGAGAATTAGAAAATAAAGACAATTATTGAAGTCAAACCTCCAAAATTGACCGTAAAATGGAAAATAATTGTAATTCCGAGTAAAGACAATTGGGTCCTCATTCCAATTTATTTTCTTTCTCCACTATTATACAAAAAGATATTTACTTGTGCCTACAAATGTCTCAAGCAATGAACCCATAACACATCAAGAGACATTCCAATGCTCCTAGTCACGCCTTGATAGAACCATTACCCCTAAACCCACCGCTGAATTTGGTTTATGGGACCCATTATTGGGCTCTACTTCATAAATGCACCTTGAATGGGCCCCCACCAGAGAAAAGCCCAGCCACCAACTCTCAAGAGTGGCACTCGTATAATACATTTCTATGCCTACAAAATAGTATCAAATACTTGTTGGCAAGAATGCACATTCACTGAATATGGGGAAACAACAGGTTTACAAATGGGATCGAACAACTCCTACAAAGGGATCGTTTTTCAGCTTTTTACTTTTGCTTCTACTTGTTGTGGTATACACTTAAATCTCCATAAAGTAATACCCTCGAGACCGAAAAAAAATATTCATTTAGTGAGGTTATTTATTTATCGATAAATGAATAAATTATTCATTTATCGATAAATAAATATTTATTATTTTAAAGAGAGCTTTTCAATATAAAATATGTACATTGTATGTGGTAAGAAAAATCAAGACACTAATCAAAATATTATTTGAATCTAGGGAAGCTCAAAAGTTTTAG